TTTTTTTTTTTTTTTTTTTTTTTTTTTTTTTTTTTTTTGGTTTAAATATATTTTTATGACAACTGAAGTCTGCTGTGAATACATTATCTAACAGTATTTAATCGTCAAATCCATGGTTGATCTTTGGCATCAAGTGTCAAGCGTCGACTTGACAAAGCGCTCTGAGTAGAGCTTTGTATGTGAGAGAGATGGATGGAGTGTGTGTGTGAGAGAGAGAGAGAAAGAGAGAGAGATTAGTGACAATCGTGATAATTTTATGTTAATCCAGATCTTTCTGCTTTTTGCTCTTAAATGAAAACCTTTGAGGATTTGAATACAAACATTTGTTGGCGTAAAAACTGTGTCAGACATCCCCACACCCCTGCTGGGATCGACCCGCAACACTCAGACACCCCCCCCCCACCCGCCCCGGCCACCCCCAAATAAATCATTATTATTTACGAACACAATGACAAGTGCCTGGTTCAAAGAAACAAAGTTGCATCAATTATTTGATCGCTCTTTTATTATTTCAGAAATTATCATTTATCAACACACATTCGCCTCTCTTGACCTTCTCATCAGTAAATCATTTGTGTCAATAAAAAAAATATGATACATACATATTTATTGCAAATACAACAACGTAAATTCTATGATTTAATAAGACACTCCAGACCTTTTCTTACACACAATTTTAAGCACAATAAATTCTCAGCAATTTTTCACCACTTTATTTATTATTTCTTCATTTTATAAAAAAAAAATAAAATATATAACCAACTCTAATTTTATAATACAGTGTTCAAACAAGATCGGCTTCTCCCGAAAGTCCTTTCAGCGTATTTTGTATTGACTGCAAATTATAACGTGTATTTTACCATCCTAACTTATGAAATTTATAGCCACAAAATTCGATTACTCTACATAAAAGTATTCCGGAACTGTCAAACCATTTGTAAAAATATATAATATTAATATATTTATGGAAAAAAAGCTCGTAGCTGCAATCAAACAGTTGCATTATTTTCTTCAAGGGTAAAAACCTTTATCTAGAGTGGTCTAAATGTAATAATTTTGTGCAACTAATTTGCTCACCCCAATTTTCCCCCTCCAAAAAACACCCCAATTTGTTTCGATTCTTTTTGTTAATTTTATCTTTTTAATTATTATCTGATATGTCACAGGTAGAAGACACAAGATTCTTCATCCCCCCCCCCCCCTTTCTGATCAAGTACCGTGGGTTAGTTAAAGAACAAGGGATTTCAAAGGCGCATAATTGGTAGTATTCTCTCCCTTGGTGCTTCAATGGCTGCCGGGGCCGGTGCTTCGATGCTGAGGACGCCGTCCGCTGCTAGCGTCGAGTTTAACGTCAGGGGGTCGATCTTCTGGGGTAAGATGATCTGGCGGCTGAATTCACGATACACCTGTCGTAATGATACAAGTAAAATACGCATGTCATGAAGTAATAAAACAAGCACACAAAAAAAACCACATCTCATGTGATAAAACAAGTCAAATACACTTTGGCGTAGGAAGGGTGAAAAGGGGGGGGGGGGTGGGCAGCCCCGGGCGGCACTTTTTTTTACTTTATAGTGAGGGGCGGTATTTTGGGCCAACTGCATAATTGTTTTTGGAAGGGGGGGGGGGGGGCACAATTCTTGGTTTGCACTAACCTTAGCTACACCACTGAAAATATACCTATCACACTATGTAATAAAACACATTTTTTTAAAGAAATGCCCCTCGCATGTCCCCATCAGCCAAGACCCGAACGCACCACGTTACTGGATAGACCTCAACCATTTGGTCAAAGGGCAAACCACGTGACCAGGTAGAGCTCACCTTCCTGCCAGGGGATTCCTCTGTGTGCTTGGCTTGGATCATCAGTCTGTTGTCCACTGTCTTCACGGTGATCTCTTCTGGCTTGAACTCCTTGCAATCAAATCTGTTCAACAGCACAATAATAATCGATAAACACAAGTGTTCTATGTAGTAATGAAGAAACGGAAGTGTGACATGCAGGGGTCGATAACCACAAGAGTAACAAGAGGCGACACTATGCCACCAGCAAGTGTTATCAATGCAGTTCTTGATAAATGCTCACGAACGTTATTCATTGTCCGTGCAACACCGTGCTCCGTAAAATGCACATTTGAATGTTAAAAATGTTGGCACAAAATTTCAGCTTGATCATTTTCTCTTACCCCCACAACCCCAACCCCCACCCCAACCCAGCTAAAAAAAACTATTTTTTTAAAAAACCACAAAAAAAACCCCGAATAGTGGTTCCCGACATGTGCTCCGTAGGGCTCAGCGTACACTTCTCATGAGCCCTGAGACCACTCCAGGAAATAAATGCACTACTCCTAAACACTATTTAACTTTTAAGACATAAATTATGATAAGCCCAGATAAGTGACTCCCCCATAAAGATTGATTCTGGCTCCGCGAGTCAAAAAATTTGGGAACCCTTGCCCCCTGCTTAAGACGTCCACTGACCTGAGAGAGAGACGTTTGTTGCCCAGCTCGTCGGAGACGATGGGGCGTTCAGGCTTGATGATATTTGAGCCGAAATCGTTAAAGTCCAGGGCTTTCAGGGTGAACATCTCTCTTCTCATCTTCTCGAGCTCCAGGTCGAACTCCTTCCACTCGGAGTCCATATCAGTGTCCAGACCCTTGACCATGTCACTGAACACCTGTCTCTGTCTCTCGAAAAAACTCCAGCTTTCACGCCTCAGAGGGACTAGGTGCTCCATTGTGGTTCTGTTGATTAAATTAACAAAAGTGAAAACAAATCATTTCGTATATAATTATTATAATATAACCTTAATGCAAGCCATATCATTTCATGAATCAAATCACATGCCATACATTACATGCAATTGTCATTTAAATATATTTTTGTTCTGCAGATCATGGGCAATGATTATCTCATAATCTATGGTAAGGGATCTTAACTTTTTTTTTGCAGCGCCTCAAACCCTCTCGATTTAATCTACCCCCTTGCAGGCCCGCACCTGGAGGGGGGGGGGACGGGACACAACCATAGCACTTGTCAGGGGCCCGAGCTAGATAGAGGCCCGCCATTTTTCGAGTTTTAAAATATACGCCCATGTTTCAAACACGAAAGGGGCCCGAACTATGTCAGCTGCCTGGGGCCCAGAATTTCCTAGGTGCAGCCCCCCCCCCTTTTTTTTTTCACGAGAAAAAATATTGTCATGAACTAAATAAATTAAAAAAGGTAAGTTGCCTTCTTCAATTAACTTGCTAGAAAAAAAAACATACAAACATACAACGGTACAAATAATGGGCAAACAAAATTGTCCATAAAAACATTTGCTGCTGACAATAAAATAATAATAATAATGATAAATCCTCTTTTAATAAAATAAATTGTAAAATTAAAAGCTGTTATTAGCCACGAATAAATAATTTCTGCGTCCTCCCGTACCTCCTGGCTCGCCTCCGACCTCCCCCCCCCCCACCAAATGGTGTTGAGTAAAAAAAATTCTTTATGTAAAAAGGGGGGGGGGGCGGTATGGGGGATTCAGGCTCTGTTTTTAAGATTGAGAAAAATGACTGCAGGGGAAAAGTTGTTTCCAAATGAGAAGAAAACTTGTTTTTAATTCCACCAAATGGTGTTGAGTAAAAAAAATTCTTTATGTAAAAAGGGGGGGGGGGCGGTATTGAGGATTCAGGCTCTGATATTAAGATTGAGTAAAATGACTGCAGGCGAAAAGTTGTTTCCAAATGAGAAGAAAACTTGTTTTTAATTCTTAAATATCTTCTAATCTATGAATTTGCAGACTTTATACACCATGGATAAGACATATCAAACAGGATTATCAATATTCGATGAATGGTGCACTGCAAGTATCCAGTTATCCACATTCAATGATTGGGTATACGTGTACTGTAAGCATCCGGTTATCCATATTCAATGCTTGGGTCTACCTGTACTGTAAGCATCCGGTTATCCACATTCAATGATTGGATGAAATCGGATCTACCAGTACTGTTAGCATTCAATTATCCACATTCATTCCTTGAGTCTACCTGTACTATAGTAATCTTTGTTAAAAGAACAGCTCTAGACATTTATCACGTCCACGACCAGTACCTGTTGGCATTCGTCAGGTGGCCACACTCGACTTAGATTTTTGCCGCCTTGCAATATTTGAAGGTGGAGGTCGGCGCTGACAGTTCGTGAAATATGTGTTGAATTTGACGTCTGAAACTGTAAACACCACCCGCGCGCCACCTCTCCATGATATGAATCTTCCTGCAACTACCTGATGTTAAACATATCTAAGTACTTTTCTTATTATTATTTTTGTTTTCTGAAGTAAGATTGTCCTAGCATATCCCAGAGTGCTCACACTATGGCTCGCGCTATGACGCACGCGCAGTAGGATGCTGTTAGGATAGTGTCAATGCGAGTCAGCGAACTATCTGTCGAATGCCTGCTTGTAATACCACGTGATTTGGTGTAGCAGCGTAAACCAATGGTTCACAAACATCCCCTGGGGGCGGGGGGTGCAGTGCCAGAAGGTGCTGGCGAGCCCAGAAATTTATCTACTCATCTATTCCACTCTACCCCTCTGTCTCTCCTCTACTCATCTATTCCACTCTACCCCTCTGTCTCTCCTCTCCTCATCTATTCCACTCTACCCCTCTGTCTCTCATCTACTCGTCTATTCCACTCTACCCCTCTGTCTCTCATCTACTTACCTATTCCACTCTACCCCTCTGTATCTCTTCTACTCATCTATTCCACTCTACCCCTCTGTCTCTCATCTACTCATCTATTCCACTCTACCCCTCTGTCTCTCATCTACTCATCTATTCCACTCTACCCCTCTGTCTCTCATCTACTCATCTATTCCACCCTACCCTTATGTTTCTCATCTACTCATCTATTCCACTCTACCCCTCTGTCTCTCATCTACGCGGGGTCCATTCAACTGTTCAAATATTTTTTACTGGTATCTATTATTTTGTTTTTAAATTACTTTTACTTTTATTCAAGTGCGAAGATAACCAAGGCTTCGAGTTGACTATTAGCCATGACTTGAGCTGTAGTTTGTTTAAAGTGAAGGGAGGGTCACTCAATTCATCAGAATCTCTCTCTCTCTCTCTCTCTCTCCATCTGTCTCTCTCTCTCCATCTGTCTTTGTTTCTCCCTCTCTCTCTCTCTCTCTCTCTCTTCATCTCCCTCTTCATCTCTCTCTCTCTCTCTCTCTCTCTCTCTCTCTCTCTTATCCTTGCCTATTTATCCCCATGGCAAGACTTAGTCAAGAAAACTAGCATGCTGCACTGAATGTTTCCTGAGCTTCTCTCAACGAATGTCTCAATGTCACAAACATAATTAAAAAGCCATAATTTCGCGAGGTTTTTTTTATAGTTTTTTTTTTAATAACTCCCTGAAGCAATGGGACCAGGATGTAAATCATTATTTCGCACCGAAATCCGTGTGCTCTCTAGTGGTCAAGTTCTTGCCAAATTGCAAAGCTCAGTTACTGTCTTATTCATCGAAACATGTCTGAACAGCTCTGGCTGCTGGAAGATAATCATAGGGTGGCAACACGTGCAAAAAAAAGAATTTTGAGTTAAACTTAAACATAAAACAACTTGGTTCGGAGAGGGGGAAAAAAAAACAGGCCCAAAGCTCCCAATGGTTATTTTTATTAAATGTAAATCTTTTCATGTGTGCATGCCAATAGGCATGCAGTTTTCCCCCTTTATTTCTGTCCTATCAGTATTTGAACTTTAATTGGGGTGAGGGGGGTATATTTTAGGTTATATCACTTGCTGTAAAATATCTAAAGAAAAAACAGAAGAAAAAAAAACAATTAAAAGTTGTGTACATGTAAACAACAGTAGATCAGTTGAAATTGTGGTGTGCCGCAGAAATCTGGCAAGAATTTAGGTTTAGGTGTTCCGTGGTTAAAAATTGTTTGCGGGGCACTGATGTAGAGCACTAAGGGTGGAGCTTCTCGAACTGGTTTCGCCCCCACCCCTTTTCCTTTTCTAACCCTTTCCACCAACGAAACGCTGTAAGTCTGCTACCCCCCCTTGCCCCCCACCCACACATTTTCCCTTAAGAACAACCTATATAGAAAATATGATGGATATAGGAGTAATATGAGTTAGGACGGTAGGTAACGAAGATTCTATTTTTGGCTCTTTGGTTTCTTTTTCTTTGTTTCTTTGTTTGTTTTGTTTTGTAATTTTTGTGTATGGTGTTGGGGGGGGGGGTTGACACACATACAGAATTAGACGGGGCAGAATAAAAAAAAAGATATTTCTTTATGTCAGTGAGACAAGATGGCGGGGCGGGGGTCTTTACAGTGCAACAACCGGAAGCCAACTAAACTTCAGTATCACCTGCTGGTGTGGAGAGTTAATCGTCTGACATCAAAACACCGAGAAAACCGACTAATCAAGAAAGCAAATAATATCACACAAACTGAATAAACTTCACTTGAAGAACTTTATGAAGAAAAATGGTGTTGGAAACCTTTTTTTAAAAAAATGTTGGATGATACATCTCTCCCACTTCATTGCAGATACCGAAGATCAGCTCGATCAGGGCAAATTCTTACTCTTAAAAAAAGGACCGAAAAATATAAAAATTCTTTTGTCCCCACAGATTCTATGAAAATTTACCAGGGCACTTACCAAGCGATTACCAAATCTAAATGATCACTAATGAAGTCATTATTGTCACTAAAGAAGTTCACTGATGACTGATTTCTACGCTAGAGAAATACTTCATATGTCTTGTGCTTAAATTGTTATAGTTGTGAAATTTCGTCTCGGTTAAAAATCTGTATTTATTTATGTGCTGAAAACGAATTAGTCCAATGTAATTTTAAAAACTAAAAACATTTCCATTTATTTGGATCAGAATCTTATCTTCGGATAATGCATTTTTGTTATTGAAAACCTCTTCCAGGATCATTCTTTGATCATATACTTAAATGTTAGCTAGAAAAACGGCCTCCTCCTGCATACCTTTATTTATTCGTGTATAACTTTCTGTCAAAAATCTGGCCGAGCCACTCACTTAATGATAAGAGATGTAAATATTGACGCGAATCCCAGCGATGGAGAACTATTGACGGCAGAAGTGGAACCCTTCCTTACTTACAGCCAAATAAACGGTGGATTAACGTTACGGTGGATTCATGCTTCTTTACAACAACAACAAAAAATACAGCAGAGGTATTAGATCCGCCACTGGTCGACTGTGTTGATAACTAGGTGGAAGGATTGACGGCATGGATGTTTGGATCGATGGATGGTCAATTGCCCGCAACAGTTCTGGCATTTCTTAGATGGCATATGTGTTTATATAATTTTGGTCGGATCATTTGGGTCTCATTTTTTACCATACTGATTCTTATCGGGCCAGTTTTAAACTTATGTGGTAGCACAAACGACGTTGTATTAGCAGGAGAGTCAAACTACTATACAATGAACACAACACAGGGCCGGAGACCACAGTTTGAGCATTATTTTGTATCATTGTAACATTATTCAATAGTGTAACGGTTATTCAATAGTGTAACGGTTATTCATGTGCAAGTATTTCATTTTGAACTAGCGGGGTTCTGGAATATTTGAAAAAATCGTCTTTAAGTAAAACTGAAATTAATCTAATCAACTGTTCGAGTTGGTGGGACACGGGTAGGAAACAGCAGGTGAGTTACCTGATCCCAGATCGTGGGGGAATAGGTCGGGGATACGCAAACAGGGTCATGGATCAAAGCCAACGGTCTGGGCACCAAAAGGTTCCTTCACCTTGCCAGGCTCACCAGCGATGGCTGGCACAAAGAACATGTTTATTTGTGCTCAATAGGCCAGTGGTTCCCCCGACTGTGGTGTCGTGGCACCCGTGGGTCTCGTAGATCTTTAGGAGAAGTGTGTCGCGAGGAGAAGTATGCGCCAAACGAATGTATTCGTTCTATTAAATATAGGATCTGTGTATTCGAATAGTGTGCCGCACAACTGATGACATCACATTAACGTGATACGACGTAACATTTTTGGAAACACCGCATTGGGCCGATAATCCCATCCTTCAAAGTCCATTACCGAGTGAATGCCCCGAGCTCGAGTCTACGTTTTTGTTTGTTTTTTTTTTGTTTTTTTGTTGTTCACTAATAGATTAGCCCGGGGAAGATGAATGCTATATATTGGGAGACATTGTACCCTTCATCTGGCGCCATTGTAACATACGTGGGGCTCCATTATGCAATACAGGGGTGCTTCACCTTGCCGTACATGGGTCGTCATTGTGACATACACGGGGCCTCATTGTGATATACATGGGGCGTCATTGTGCCACGGATGGGGCGTCACTGTGATATAAATGAGAGCAGTGTGGTTAAAATCTCACTTTGTACCTAAATCTCCACACGTCATCCACATCAAATACTTCTTCGGACTGGCTTTATCCATATCCATATCCATACCAGCCCGCCCCACCATCCCCATCCTGCTGGATTAAAGGAACCTGGTGCTCCCGTATGGATGTCATTCTAACTTTATCACACAAAAAAGTGCGTGTGTGGGGGGGGGGGGTGTTGGTCAATGACCGGCACCAAAACACGTGACTTCCTCTAATATATGCAGGAGTCAACCTTTTAAATATTTTGAATTTCACAAAATAATAATTTACCCATTTCCATACCCACACCATCCCCCCCCCACACCCCCATACTGCTGGATTAAAGGAACCTGGGGCCCCCGTATGGATGGCATTCTAACTTTATCACACAAAAAAGTGTGGGGGTGGGGGGGGGGGGGTGTTGGTCAATGACCGGCACCAAAACACGTGACTTCCTCTAATATATGCAGGAGTCAACCTTTTAAATATTTTGAATTTCACAAAATAATAATCAACAGTAAGATTTATTTCTTATTTCGGAAGGGGCGAGGGATATGGGTTTTAGTGCAGGACCTCAAAGAGACCCTACTTTTATTAAGCTTCCCCACACAGAAGCTATACAGACTGAAAATTCAGAGGTCACACAGAGGGCAGACAAAGGGTCTGCATTTTATTATTCAAAGACTCGTTACTTTTTTTTTTTTGCCTATCTTTCAAAACCTACCCACCCTCCATCACCCTCACTCCTCCTTCCTACCCACACTCCATCACCCTCACTCCTTCTTCCTACCCACCCCTCCAAACCCCTATTCAAAGGCTCGTTTCTTTTTTTTTTTTTTTGCCTATCTTTCAAAACCTACCCACCCTCCATCACCCTCACTCCTCCTTCCTACCCACACTCCATCACCCTCACTCCTTCTTCCTACCCACCCCTCCAAACCCCAGTTTAGTGAGGTTGTCTTTCTTTCATTCCGTGTTAAAGACCTCAGACTGACGTATTTATTATACACACCTACAGGTAGTCAGGTCTAAGACAATACACTGGCGTACCTGCTGGATGGTGAGGCGAGCACCTTATAGTTCACCCAAACTGTTAGCTAGGACGTTACCTGAGACAGGTGTTTTTACAAACAGCAAACAAATGACTGACAACTGATAAGCCCAAGATGTAAACAAAAATATCATATTGCCAACCACACAAGTAAATGAATAGCAATTTATTTAGAGCTATCGATGACATTTTTCGTTAACTTGTGTGCACAAATAATATGTATCGTCTGTTGGATCCTCTGACCTTGACTTTAGAGGAGAAAAATTTAACTACACTTCAATTTTTTTTTTAAATAATAAAAATTTGTAAACACTTTTAATGTAAAAAGTAGAGTTTGGAGAAGAAAAAAAAAGAATATTGTAAAAACTCATTATTTTATTTTCAAATGAAACTATATTTATTTATAAAATAAAAATATATCTATCATATGAAAATTAAATTCATCCAACTAAACAATAGCCATTATATGAAAAGCAAATTTATAAAATGCAAGACAAGGCCAGTAATAAGCCTTCGCAGCGAGATAACTCTTTTAACAAAAAAAAATATAAAAAAATGGACTAGCTACCCCAAAAACTGCACGAATTGTTGTTGTTTCTTCTTGAGACATTGAGAGTTGTACCGAGTAGCAGTAGCTTGTAGCAGAGGAAGTCGAAGCAACGAATGTTGTTCAAAGGTTCTTCGGGCAGTTTTTTTTTTTTTTTTTTTTACCAGTATCCGTCTGAGACAGGATCTAAGCCAGCAGAATTCTAGACTTGAACCACAGTAAAACCCCGGATAAGATCAATCGTGTGGCAGGCCTGCACAACTCAACATTTAAGGTGAGCCGTGCAAATTGATTAAGAATATAATAATAAAAAAGAATATGTCGTTACTGCGCAGACCGCAAGGTGGGTGCTGGTGGGCCGAATGCGGCACGCGGGCCGCATGGTGTGCAGGCCTGGTGTAGACCCCAATCAAAGAGGGTTGTATGGATTCTGATTTTTATTTGGATTAGGGTAAGGCTCCTTGGATTACGATAATTACATCCCCCAAATGGCCACCACTTCTGCAGAAATCGCCACCACAACTGCAGAAATGGCCACACATAAATTAGACCAGTAGCTTTAATGCTGCCTTACACATTTAGAGGCTGGGTCGACTAAACAAAAATAAGACTAACATTTCCGGAGGGAAAAAAACAACTATATTCCAGTTCTAAAAACAACCCTACCATTTGACATCATTAAGAAGTATTTCTCAATTTGGTAAAAAAAAGTTGTCTCATAAACTTGAAATTTTCGCAGTTCTTTCAAGATCAAAATCCGTTTCGGTGGGACAGACTCAAACCAACGGGTGGCACTCCACGAAGTATAATGGAGGGACGGGGTGCTTACTGCTAGATCCATAAACATGGAGCCAACTATCTTTCAATGTGGCCACTCCACTCCCAACGAGCTATAAAATTGGCCTAGCAGTGTGGCCACTCTACTCCCAACGAGCTTTAAGATCGGCATATCCACCGACAGCTATCCATCTGCGATCTATCAATCTGGCCACTCCGCCTCCAACGACGCATCACGTTCGCCATGCTAATGCCAACCACCTGTCAATAAGATCATTTCTTCTTCCAAAGACATATCACTTTGGCCACCCCCTCCCCCTTCAAAACCAATCACTGCGGCCACTCCACTCCCAATGACATGTCACGTTGGCTACTTCACATCCAATGACCTTTCACTTTTACCACTCTAACTCCAATGACCTATCAATGTGGCCACTTCCTTTTAAGACCTGCCACTTTTGCAAATCCACTTTCAGTGACCTATCCCTATGGCCACCCCACCGCTGACGGCCAAACATGGACAAGAAGCCTTCATTTCCCTGGTTCCAGTTCTATCGATGCTATCATCTGCCAGAAGCCACCCACAGTTCAGCCGCACTTGAAAGTTAAATTCCATCTGCTCGCAGACCTGATGTGTGCCATAGACGTGTTCTACAAATATCACCAGGTCAACATAACTTGCGCGTGCTATAAACACCCCGTTGTAAGGGCCTGTCTATAAAAGCCTACTGTGACGTCACAATTTTCAGGGCTGTTGCTTCACACGTGAGGGTTGGAGAGATGGATGGAGAGATGGATGGAGAGAAACAGTGGAGGAAAGGAAGGTGTGACAGAAAATTTACCTGAGTAAAGTTTCATACACTCCCAGGATGTGAAGTAAAACTTCATAACTTTTGTTCCAACTCAACTGTCTTCAAGGGGAACTCTTAAGTTTTATTTGGAGTCAGAATTATTCCTATACCCTAAACCAGAGCCCTGGACTTAGGACATGAGAAGGTTTTACGGCATACGAAGCCAAGGGCAAGATGGAATTTTCAAGTCCTGAACATTGAACGTCTTTTGCAAAATCTTGTCCCTAGCTCAAGTACATTATCACAGCATATGGAGTATGTCAGAAAAAGGGGGCGCAAATTTCGGCGTATCGCAAATTTCGGCGTATCGCAAATTTGTTCGAGAGAAATTTGTTTAAACGGAGATTTATTTATCTACATGTTTATTTAAGGCAGTGGTTCTCATCCTTTTTAATGCCGCGACCCTTTAACACTGTGCCTCAGGTTGTGGCGACCCCTAACTACAACATTTTTATCGTTGCTGCCTCTTAACTGTTGGGTATATGTGTTTTCCGATGGTCTTAGGCGACCCCTCTGATATGGTCATTCGACCCCCAAAGGGGTCGTGACCCACAGGATGAGAACCACTGATTTAAGGGAAGGTGTGCGTGAAGAATGGAGATAATTTACTTTTTTTTTTTTTAATATTTAAAAAGATTTTATTGTTCCATTTTGTCTTTCGTACAATAACCCAAATATGGGGCATGTGTTAGGGTAAGGTTAAACAAAGTTCAAAAGAGATCTTAATCAGATTTTTGCTTTGTGTAGAGTGTTGGCACCGGAGAAAAAAAAAATCTTAATGTCTGGCAAGTTGTTACGGTCCGACGCCATTCGGCAGCCATTTTTTCAGTCCTCCAACAGCCACTGCCTGACCTGATGTTCCGGAGAAAGCTCCATAGCACATTTCATGACGAATCGAGGTATAAAAAAAAATTACTTCACATCTAAGACAAATTACATCAAGTCAAATCACGGACACATCGGAGGAAATTTATACGAAAAGTTGCATTGCCAGTTAGAATTTTTTTTTTCAATAACGAAGCGAGAAAATAGCTGAAATAAAAACAATGGTAGGCGACTATATGACCATAATGTATAACTGTTGATAATATGGTCCCGGGGCATGGGGAAGGGTGATGCAGGTTAGGGTGCACAAAGAACAGTTGACGCGGATTGTGGTGGTGTGTTTGGCTTTAGCTGCCTCAACGTTTTTTTGTTGTTTTTTTACAACACTAACAAAAACCGAAATTAAATCATACATTGTTTTGTGCACATCAATAAAAGGAATATTAATTTTTTTAACAATTTAATTTGTATAAAGTACACGTATACTGTTGGTTGTTTTTTTAAAGAGTAATTTATAGTAATTATAGCTATTCAAATATGCATGTTTTCTTCCGTTTTATCTATGCTATACTAAATGAACTATCAGCACGGTACCGGTATTCAACAGGTTTAATGCTTGGTTACCTTCCATTCTTTAAAAAATATTTAGTAAGGCCTAATCATTTTTTTTAATCAGTAAAAATAATGATGTAATGGAATATCTTCTTTTTATAATATGGAGAAAAAAATAATAGTAATTCACTTCAAATACAGGCCTCAATAAATATAGCATATATATTTAACATTGAAACATTAAAATACGTAAAAGCGAAAATATTTTATATTAAAGCATGTTCTCGGGCTGAATTCATTGGATGCAAATCATTTAAAAGAGAAATTTGCTATAGTTTATAACATTATTAAAATAACAATAGAATGTATCTAAGCAGTCCTGTTCCTTGGCATCACCAGCTTTATGCCACCGATATCAATATCTTAATAACATTCTTGACATTGGCTAAGTTCTGCTCGACCAGACTCACAATATCGGCTTTTTTTTTTTTTTTTTAGTCTTTAAAAATACAGTTCCGTACTAATTGTATTAACAATCTTAGTTTGAGATTCTATCAACATATTTTAACGTTGACCTAAAACTGGGCGTTTTACGTAATCCCCCAATCATTGGCTAAGTTCTGCTCGACCAGACTCACAATATCGGCTTTTTTTTTTTTTTTAGTCTTTAAAAATACAGTTCCGTACTAATTGTATTAACAATCTTAGTTTGAGAGTCTATCAACATATTTTAACGTTGACCTAAAACTGGGCGTTTTACGTAATCCCCCAACAACTTCTCCCAGTAAAATATCGAGCGCTTACCTCCTTACAAACTTTGATGTTATCTGGCTAAAGATGTGTGTCTAAGGCTAAGTTGTTAGTTGTTGACTTTCACTTTCGGAGAAATCCCGCGACTGGAAAAATCGTCTGGAGTAGCCTACCCTGCTCACCTGCCGGCTTTTATAGAATGTGAGGCACGTGTGTCACTCTTAAAACTAGACCGAAGTTTAAACCAGTGGTTCTCGTATTACATTCAGGGTTAAATTGAGGGGTAGTCTTATGCTAAACACAGAAAAAAATATGGGACCGTGCACATCTTATGTAACGTGAAAAAAAAAAGGGGGGGGGTTGTAGATTCTCATTTTGTTATATTGTGTTTTATGAGGTGGGGGTGGTAGAGAGATATGTTATGTAACAATTCTTTTTGATTGTTACTTTTTTAAATAATTAATTCTTACTTTTTGAAAAATTCAAGCTTTTCAAATTTACGAATTTAGCCTAAAAGTATTAAAAACTTTGTTAAAAGTATATTTTTTGCTTACAATAGTTAGTACTTTTTTTTTGGGGGGGGGGGGGGGTTTAAAATTTTTTGGTGTTTTGGGGTTTTGGTTTTTTTTTTTTTTTTTTTTTTTTTTTTTTTTTTTTTTT